ATCTATCTATCTATCATCTGACTCTCTATCTGTCTATCTATCTATATATCTATCTATCTATCAATCAATCATCTGACTCTCTATCTATCTATCTATCTATCTATCTATCTATCTATCTATCTATCTATCGCAGATAGATAGTTCCCTCTTCTCTGATCGTTCAGCTCTAGTTTATCTTGTTTGACTACATTTATAAACAATAACTATCTTATGTGAATTGAAAAATATTTCTGTCATGACAACTCTCGGAGGGATTGGCATGGTAATGTACATTACAATGTTAATGTATTTAGTTTTGGCGGATTAGATTAGCTACGCTGCTGCTGCGGCAGAGCAAGTACCGAGACTTGCTACTGCCAATACATCCACACATGCTGCTGTGAGTATGTAAGAAATACTGCTGCTGCACATATAACATACATGAAATACCCCCATAGCATACATGAATCACCTCGTAGCAGATCTATACAGGTGGAGCTGGGGAAGGTGGAGGGTTTCTGAAGCAAGCTGCAATGTTACAGCAAGCACAAGACAGGTATTTGAATGTTGAGCAGCAAGCTCATTGGCTGCTAATACAGAAGTGAACCAATCAGCTGTGCTATGTGATGTTATGTCATATAATATATATGTTATGTCATATATATATATATATATATATATATATATATATCAAGAAATAAATGTGACAATCCTTCAGTATGCATTCATAAAAAGTGAGAGGGCAGAAATGTGTTTTCTTTACCTGGTAGTCCTTGATTAACTCCTCTGTCTTTTCACCAAGGTAGAGAATGAGGCCTCTGATCGCAGTTACTCTTTGGGACTCAGTGCTGTTGTCCTACAAATATATTAAATATGAGATTATCTTAAATGCAGAATAGAATGCTACAACATTAAACTAACTACTACAATGTTAAATGAAAGTACATGCCTCATTTACGATGCCATTTGAAACGAAAACAACTTTTTGTCTGGCCCATGAGCTAACTAAGTTAATTTAACTTTATCCCCCCATTCCTAATAATTCTATATAATGACTCTCCTCTGCAAAGGCAGATGACTTATATCTGACTGACACACTGTGATTTGCACTCATTATCCAGCTACCCTGTATACTTCTGTACATTTTTATACAGTAGGTTAGTTGTTGTTTTTTTGTATATATGTGTGTAATCCAAGGGCAAATGTGCATAATCAATTACCGTCCACTAAAAGTGCTGTTTTGTAAAGTAACATTTGAAGTCTTTTTATAAAAACAAACAAGCAAACAAAAAGTATATATATTCTTGGGACCTTATGTGAATTATTTTATCAAATTAGTTTGTGGAATAGAATAGCTCATGGCGACATGTGCATTAGAGCTACAATTAGCATCAAGCTACATAACACAATTTAAAAGATTAATATTACGCTTTTACTCAAAATTCACTTTAAACCACCATAGACTGTTTGTATTAACTTCTGATCGCGATCTAGTGTGGATTTTAGTCATGTTGTTGAAATATATGCTTAGCATTCATAATAAACATCCATTATTGATATGAAAATAGCTCCAATCACATGAAAATCACACAAACCATACTATCATAATCGTGTGCGTATTACCTCCTTATTGTTTGTTACGTGTGTACACCTAAGAAGATTGGCTGGGATTACGTAGATAAATTTTGTAAAGGAAAAAAATGCACAATGTCTTGTATTTTGAACAAATACAGAATAATTCACAACTAGATATATTCATGTAACGATACAAACTTAACATTTTATTGTTAATATAACAGATTTAATTACGTAACATTTACATCCACTCAGATAAATTTTTTTCAGTGTACCCAGATGGCTCCAAATATGAAGGCAAGTCGTTATCTATATTATCTCAAGTACATGTAAGCATATGTGATTTAGGTTCACATTTTTGTTAACATTAGTTAATGCTTTAGGTATCATGAACTGACAATGAGCAATGTACTTTACACAGAGTTGTTACCTTCAACTAAAACTATTAAAGGTATCATATGATGCGATTTCAATTTTTTCTTTCTCTTTGGAGTGTTACAAGCTCTTGGTGCATAAAGAAGACCTGTAAAGTTGCAAAGACTAAAGTCTCAAATCCAAAGAGATATTCTTTATAAAAGTTAAGAGTCAACCACACCTACCTAAAACGGCTCGTTCTAACACGCCCCCACATATCTACCTCACTATGTGGGAAGATTTGCATAACGCCGCACAAATGTTCACACAAAGAAAGAAGGCGCAACTTTTATTCTCGCTGTAGTATTGTTGTTGCTGTCGCCATGTCGTGAAGACGCTGTCTGTTTCGTTGTGAAAGCGAAACTACTTTGGTTGGCCTTCCAAAAGAGGACGATATCCGCTTCGTCATGCCTTAGAACTGATCCGTGCTGGTTGCTGAGGGAATACATCAACTTTGCGCTGTCGAACGCCGGATCGGCTTTCACCGTGGACGAAGAGGAGTCCAGCCCGGGGTCGTCACATGTGGTTGCCGCAAGCCCGCCGGACGCTCCTCACTCTAGCCCACCGTCTGTTTCGTTGTGAAAGGGAAACTACTTTGTTTGGCCTTCCAAAACAGGACACGAATCAGTGGTTAAGTTGTATTTACAACACTATTCCAGAACAGGTCAACCCAAATATTCAGATGTGTGCGTAATTATGTCCCCACTGGATGCAACAAATGCCTCGTTTATAATGGGTTTTAATGTTTTTGAATCATCGCTCCGGCCTGACAGGGCATCATCACAGTATAGTAGGGGCGTAACATTTCCGTCACACGCTTGAGGTATTCGGCCAATCACAACGCACTGGACAGCTGGCCAATCACAGCACACTTTTCAGACCGATGAGCTTTGTAAAAATCGATGCGTTTCAGAAAGGTGGGGCATAGAGGAGAAACAATAATGTACAGTATGTGGAAAATAATGTGTTTTTTTAACCTTAAACCGCATAAACACATTTCATTACACCAAATACACCAAATAATGTTCTTTTTAGCAGCATCATATGACCCCTTTAAAAACATCTTTGTTAATAGAATAGAACTGAAATAAAATAACATAACAGAATAGCTGAAATAAAATAAAATACTAATGTTAGTTGAAAACCTTTTGACAATTTTGAAATGCCTTGGCAGCTAACTGAAATAAGTACTAAGTAGAAATACTAAAATTACTGAAATAAAAAAAACTATTATTAAACAAAAATGTATAAAAATGGCAACAGCATATAACAAATTACTAAAAATTAAAATGAAAACATAAAAGTTAATTCAAAATATTAACAAAAACTATAACAGTATAAAAGTAATACTAATAACATTGCTTTTACAGTACTTATTAATCTATGTTAATGTCTACATATACTAATATAATGTTAACATTACATGAACTAACAATGAACAATAGTATATATTTATAAATTAATTAAAACATTCTCAAATTAATGTTCATTTTTTCATATCGACTTTTCACTAATTGTTATGCTGATAATATTATGTATACAAAATGTTATAATTTATAAAAAATATTGTATTCAAGTAGAAATAAACATTCAAAAGTTGGGTTGATGACCAGCGGCAGGGCCATGGTGTGTACACATACCCCAATGGAGACACATATGATGGAGAACGGCTGCACCATCAGAGGTAGTTGAGCTCCGGCTCATAATTTTCTTTCTCACTGATCTAATCTAGTCATCTATTACAGTGTTTCCCAACCTTTTTTTAGTCGCGGCACCCTTTGGAAATTTTAACAAACTTGTGGCACCCAACAAAATTTTGTCACAATATTTGAATTTCTAACTTCAATATGATAATTTGAAAAGTATAGATAGGCCTATTCGGTACAACAGGGAAGAACTGCAGAATATAATGTCATACTGATATTTTTAATATTATCAAAAAATTTTGTCCTTCAATGGTGGCAATCAGTAGGCTAATTTCTAATGAAGAGACCAATTTATATGACAGATTTTAATATAGGCTTTTGTACATATGTAAACATTATTTAATTACCATTATAACTAGCTATCTCACTAATTTTTGCTCACTCAGTGTTTTTTTTTATTTTACAGTGGGGTAATTTTGGTGCAGTAGCACAAGATTGATTTCAAACTTTGAATTGAATAAAAAATGACAAGTAAGCAGTCAGTAATAAAATAAGAACAAATAAAGAAATTAATAATGATAGCACAAATTAAAAATAACGACAGGCTTTCGAATTAAATAAATTGCATTTAAGTTTTTCAGGTAAGTCTAACAGTAGGGTTAAGATATTTAAAACATTTTTTTTTTTTTTACCAATTATCCAAATGTTTAGTCCTAGAAAGCTATTATTATCAGAATACGCGAGCATAACATAGCGGTTAGCAGATCAGTGAATGAGAGGGCAGCGTTACCAGAGTTGCTCATTTACCACACCATGTTACAGCACAGTAGGGCTATTGCAGACAGAAACAATACTGTACTACATCGATGTTACCTGTTGGCTCGATTTTTGTGTGGACTTTGCTGTTCAGATGAGCATGAACGGTATATGAGTGGAGCGACTGAGCGGAGCGCACACGCATATCGGGATAACACGCAGAGCGTCACACCACGTGAAAGTGAATCCTCATTTTCGGCAGCCGAAATTTCGGTGCATCTCTAATTATTGGCGACATCAGAAATGGATATTATATGATAGATGCTTTTTTTGAACATTTTAGCAATTTAAAAATATTAAAAAATTATTTTTTTACACGGCACCCCGGTTGGGAAACACTGGTCTATTATGTCTACTCTATGGATATTAGTTGCAACAGTATTCATAACATCTTCAGCTTAACTAAAAATGTATGGGAAAACATGCTTATTAAGAACCTGTCTCTCTGTTTCTCTTTTAGACATGGGCAGGGTACATACAGACATCACAACACAGGTTCTCAGTACATGGGCACATGGATCATGGGTAAAATGGAGTCAGCTGGGGAACTGATCCATCAGAACCACAGATATAGGGGCAACTTCGTCAATACTAATGTAAGTAATTCTCTACATTTATGGTTCTAAGCAGGTGGGTCATAGCAAATGGTTTGTAGATCAGTTCAAATCTGTTCAAAATTGAAATTGTTCTCTGTTAACTTCTCTCACACAGTGATCTCTTATTTCTTGTAATTGTTATTTTCTAGCCGTCTGGTCCAGGGAAGTATGTGTTTGACATTTGGCATGGAGAGTATCTCCAGATAGATCAGGTATGTCTCTTCATGACAAGATGTCTTTAAACTTCTTGAGAGTGTATTTCAAGTAGGCCTGTCGCAATAATCAATATATCGACTTATCGCGCAATATATGTTCATGACCTCAATCATTTTTGGTGACGCAATATATCAAAAATTGAAGTCACCATTTTTTGTACATTCCACTTGCGCCTGTGTCTTTTGCAGCTTCTCGTACATAATGTGGTGTAATCATGAGGTGTTAGTTCAAATTTAAAAAATGCTTCTACAAACAAAGTTTCATCTGCAGATATGGTCTTGTTTAGGGATCTGTGCCTTTGTGCATACGGACATCTGACTGCTAAGTAGGGATTGTGCTTCTCAGCAATACAGTGCACCCTTAATTTACAGAGAAAAGAAGGTCCGGGAGAAATCTGTAGATGGAAAAATGTCCATACAAGTTCTTTGTGCATTTTTCTTTTTTTCTACTTGTTACTTTGCACTTTTTGTTAGAAAATGTTTTTTTACTATTTATTCAGGTTTTTTAAGGTATCTAATATTTGGATGCTTAATTTGCATGATCTAAATATTCTTAAAAGTTAAAAGTTTGTTGTCATTTGGAAGTGTGTAGGCCTTCTTGCATTATTATGCTGTTACATTATGATTATGTCTTCAGTGGCATAAAATGGTCTTTAAAATGACAATAATATCGCTTATCGCAATTATTTCTGGGGCAATATATCGCACAACAAAAAGTTGTTATCGTGACAGGCCTAATTTCAGGTGGCATGGTCATATAAAACTGCAGGTACTATATACAAAATGTTCCTCTCCCTGTGTTCTCAGCAGTGTTTTGTCGGTATTTGGCTTGTTAAGAGAATTGGTTTAAATACCCTTGTGAAAAAGAAGTGCACTTAATTGTATGAAATGTGCACTTATAGTGTATTTCAAATCTTAATAGTATATTTAAAAATACATGCAGTAAATATTAATGAAATAAAAGGCAACTTAAGTGTTCTTAAAGAGAGCAGCTTTCATGACTATCATGTTTCTTAACACACTTTTAAAAATGGAAATTAAGTCAAATTAAAAGTTTTACTTTGAAAACACATTTTGAATCATGGTTTTAATTCACTTTAAAGTAGTACACTGATTTTTAAGAGTTGACTAACACATGTAAAGTACTTGATTATAATTTTAACTGTCATGAGTTATTCAATATTACATTTCATTTGAAGTAAATAGTTCTTTATGAATGGCCCATTGAATCATTAGGCTTGTTCGACTTGAAGCGGATCATCACCATCAGATCTGTGCAGCACCGCTTCAAATCCAACGCACCTATGGCCAATGGTTCAACGCACCAAATGGTTCACCCAATTCATTCAAAACGTGCATTAAGAAATGAAATGCCGCTGTGTGTTGCTCGGAGACTAACAGCTCTGCTTTGTCTTTATATTGTCGTTGGCAAAATTGAGCAAAACAGACAACATTGTGTCTAAAATAACACAATATTAACTTCTTACATACTGAACTGTTGTATAAGATCACTCGTGTGATATTGCACTTAGCCTATTGCTTGTGTGATATTGCTTAACTATATGATGTAAACATGAGACAAAAACTCAAACAGGGGCATTTTTGCCCCATATCTTGAATTTTAGGGACATTCTAACTATGTTCTCTAGGCTCCATCATGCAGTGAGTTGTTGCCCTGCCTCATATTTGTCATCAATCAGCTGTATGAGATGTGACCCTGGACCACAAAACCAGTCATAAGGGTCAATTTTTTCCGAAATTTAGATTTATACATAAGCTTTCCATTGATGCATGGTTTGTTAGGATAGGAGGACAATATTTGGCCGAGATGCAACTATTTGAAAATCTGTAATCTGAGGGTGCAAAAAAATAAAAATATTGAGAAAATCACCTTTAAATTCATCCAAATGAAGTTCTTAGCAATGCATATTACTAATCAAAAATTAAGTGTTAATATATTTACAGTAGGAAATTTACTAAATATCTTCATGGAACATGATCTTTACTTAATATACTAATGATATTTGACATAATACAAAATTTTGATATAATTTTGACCCATACAATGTGTTTAAGACTTAAGACTGGTTTTGTGGTCCAGGGTCACAAATGTCAGATCACCCCATAGGTCTAGGGCGGGGCAAGTGCGTTAAATGCGTTAATTTTAAAGTGTTATTTTTCACCGTAATTAATTAATATAATTAACACGTTAAATTACCAGCCCTAATTTAAATACATGACATTCAAGTATATTTTAGTTATCATAAATGCTTGTCAGTACATTCAGCAGCCCACCTGCAGAAGTAATTATGAAATGACATATAAAGATGTCCTTAAGTGGGTCAAAAAGTAATTTCATTTAATATGAATTTAAACTGTAATACAGTTTCATTGAATTGCAATTAACATGCAATTGTCTTGAAAACAAATATTCAGTTCACACTTATTTCTGTCATAAGTACTCCTTTTTAAAGGTGACATATCACGAAAATCTGACTTTTCCAGGTTTTAAGTGCTATAATCAGGTCCCTGGTGCATCTACCAACCAAGGAAACGTGAAAAAAATTTTGTAGCTAATGACTCATTTCCAAATCAAATTTCTTTCAAATTATTCATTTAAAAGAATAAATGTTTTTATCATACATTTTGGGGACAAATATTTTGAGCTCTGTTGTACCCTACCTAGAAGAATAAGCCTAACAAACTGATGCATAATGAATCTGTGTGAAGCCAAATCTTAATGGAATTTTTGGACTGCAGGACAAAGGAGATGCAGAAGATGCAGAAGACCACCTTGAAGTGGAAACCCAAGGCAGTCACTGGGCTTTCAGTTTGGACCAATGAGAAGGATTCTGCCACCTCGGGTACATCCATATTCAGTTTTGAATCTCAAACATACTGTAGACTGCCTTTACACTGTAGCGCTGCAGTGTGTGTCATTAAATAGCATTTGTAGTCCCCTTCTCTCTTCTCTTTTAGGGGCTTTTTGATGTTGCTGAAATATAATTACAAATATGTATATGTAAGAAAGGAGAAAAGCGCATCCTCGTTTAAAATATATAAATGAGTGATGAAGCGCATCAGTCATAAAACAATATGTATGTTCTGCTATTTGACCATTTTACACATTTTATCAATAAAAATATTTTCAAATACAGTAAGCTGAACTGAAGTACTGTGTCCGTTCAATGTAGATCAAGCCGTGGTGGAAGACTGAGAAAGACAAACCAAAAGATGATACAGAAGAGAGAGGACCGCCGGTTAATTATATCTGCATATATCTGACAGCCACTTCTCATGTTTAGCAATAATGGGATGATCGGATCCTGTATCAGCCTAAAAGAGTTTATTTTGCAATAGTAACCTTCTGACTGTACATTATCATGCTTATTACATGGCTTATAAATAAATACATGTACATGGTTTTTATTTGAGTTTGAATTATTTTATCATGTCATAAGAATGAGACATGAAACTTGCACAGCGATGTGGGAAATCGGTTGTTTGTGACAATAGTTATAACAGTTCAGCATCATTACTTAAGGAATAACTGACGACTGAATGCTGTGATTGACCAATCAGAATCAAGTATTAATTCAAGAGTAATTCACTAACAGAAAAATCTATTTACACATGATTCGGAGGCCCTTTTAACTGAAAAGTGTTGTAATTTTAAAAACAGCAGAGGGCGCAATGAACCAAACAAAACTGAGCTGTAACTGAAAGGTTCTTTGGGAAACCCAAAATGGATCTTCTATTGCATCACTACAAAATCACTACAAAACAACTGAAGAGAAAGTCTTATTTTATATTGTGTATTGCATTAAATGTGACCTGTACTGTAACAATCACTTTTAAAACATTCCCAATGTTTGAAAAGCACCTCATTTTACACATATTTCTACGCAGTTTTAATAATCGTACATCATATTCATCAAGGTCTATTATTTAGAAGCAGTTTTATGTCTGTGTCAGAGATACAGGCGTTAAATTCCATGTAATGTTTTGCTGAAAAATTTGAACAGTTTTGTATCTGGCCTGTCCACAGCAACTTTATCACTTATATGCAGTATGCAGTATACTTTCATCATTCATCAAAGTGATTGGAAATTGATTTCGGTTTAAGCATAATTTAAGCATATTTTTACCAGAACTGTCTTTACCATAATGCCTCAGGGCACACTTAATTTTTGTGTTAACGTTTTTTTATTAATTCCCATTATTTTCACTAGTGATTCTAATTAGATTGTAACTGCTTTCTTACAATGGGTTAATATAAAGCGTATTCAACATAACTGATATTTAGAAAATCTGACAGGTACACTTACAAGCAGCATCTTCAGTCACACATACAGTAAAAACAATGTGAGTCATCAAACATTTTTAATCTGAAATCTTAACCCAGTTTTATATCACCATCTTTTCATGTTTAAATACAGTAGGCTTGAAAAAGTACAGTAGGCTATATTTACATTTACATTTAGTCATTTTGCAGACTCTTTTATCCAAAGCGACTAGCGAAGTGCAAATGACTCGGTTAGCCTAATGCAGTACGCGTAGCAAGGTGTATATACACTGAACAAAATTATAAATGCAACACTTTTGTTTTTACCCCCATTTTTCATGAGCTGAACTCAAAGATCTAAGACTTTTTCTATGTACACAAAAGGCCTATTTCTCTCAAATATTGTTCACAAATCTGTCTAAATCTGTGTTAGTGAGCACTTCTCCTTTGCCGAGATAATCCATCCACCTCACAGGTGTGGCATGTCAAGATGCTGATTAGACAGCATGATTTTTGCACAGGTGTGCCTTAGGCTTTTTATAGGCCTTTTGTGTACATAGAAAAAGTCTTAGATCTTTGAGTTCAGCTCATGAAAAACGGGGCAAAAACAAAAGTGTTGTGTTTATAATTTTGTTCAGTGTATATACAGTATATATATATACTGTATATTATATACACACACACACACACACACACACACA